AAACTTTTTTCAATTTATTTTAAGTTTATGTAAAGTTTATTTTCAGTTTTCTTTTAAATTCATGTTCTCTTTTGTTTTTAATTCAATTCAAGCTTTCTTAAATTTCTATCTTTGCTTTCAATTCAATTCAATTTGAATTTTCTCTGTTTAAGTGCTTTTAAATTATGCAATTCATGCACTTTAAGTTTTGTTCTTAATTTAATTAGAGGTTTCAAGTTTCATTCATTAAATTTAAGTTGTTTGCATTTAATTAAGTCTAATTTAGATTCTGTTTAATATGCTTTTTGTGTGTTTAAGGTTTTTAGGTTTAGGTTTAATAGTTTTTGCATGTTTTAGGATCTTGCATATTAGTTCAAGTTTAATTTACATGCATGTTTCTAAGTTCAATTAGTGAAGTCGCAATGGTTTCAATTTAATTTAAGTTGTTTAAGTTCTATTTGAGTTTCATCTTAGTCTTTGTAGTATTATTTGATTAGTTAAGTAGTTTGATTTAGTTCTTGCATATTAATTTTTCATCTTTTGGATATAATTAAAGGTAAACAATTACAATACTTAGTTCTTTTCCATATATTTAACCTCCGTAGGAATGATACTCTACTCATTTTATATTACTTGTTCTAATTCTATGCAATTACAGATTCTCAACCAAGATGATGACAAGAGTAAGGAATAGCAAGAAATCTATATCTGTTAAGGGAGCTTTCAGTCAAGTGTGGGCAATGTAAGGCAGATAGATTTGCAACAAAAAAGAACCCCTATGAATCGATGCAGGAAAAAGAATAAGGTGGTAATGATTTGATGATCTAAGATTTTTAGAGAACAATTTGTTTGAATTTTTTTTTGTTGCCATTAAACATACTCTGATAATATCGCTTTTAAAACCATTGAGCTATCTTTAACCTTTTTTTCTCAATGATGTTTTACCTACCCATTAGCTTGATCATAATAAGGGATTAAGTGAATTAATCTCTCCCTAAAAGTAGCAAGGAATTCCTTGCTTCATCATTGTCAAAGCCTATCGTTAGGTAAGTAGTTATAGCTTCGAATAACAAACCTATTAATGATATTTTCCTTAATTATTACCTTATCAGAATTTGGTGATTAACTACTTTTGAAGGTGCAACTTTTTGACCATTCAACGAAGTAACCTGTTGTTACTAGTATGAAAGTATGACACAATGATAAGATATAAAAACGATATGAAAAAAACATAAAAATAATATGGTTTAAAATTTTAATAAAAATCATTTATAAGTTTAATAAAAATAAAAATATATATTTTGCTTTTTTTTTTCTATCAATACAAAATATACAATTTTCATATAAATATGATATAAATACATAAATAATTAATGTTTTCCTGATATAAATGCATAAATTATCGAGGTAAGATTAAACTCAATGCATGTTCCAAAAACAATATAGGAGGCACTTGAATATGGGCTCATGATGATTAATAGGTTGCTTGACTTGTGTAAAAAAAAAAATAAAACCCTCCCAACTCTCAAAACTTAAAAGGCTACGAAACCCATTCTCTTACACTATGTTTGGATTAAAGGGAGAGGAAGAGAAGGAAAGGAAAGGACAATAAAGGAAAGTAATGAAAATAGAAAAACCTTTTCTTTGTTTGGATAAACTTTTAATTTAAAGAAAAAGAAAAAGATGAAAACTTAGTAATAATTGGTTTCTCTTGTAATTTTCACTTTTTTAATACTCCAATTTAAGGGAAAAGCTAACGAAAAGAAAACTAAAAAAGTTTTATTTTTATAAAAAGATTATTATATCCATATTTTTATTAAGACAATAGATTTGATTATATAACTAAAACTTTATACAAAAATATGTTTTTAATGAGTATTTTATATAACATTATAGTTTATAAAATATTTTATGATTTTTTAAGTCTTAACAACAAAACAAGTCAAATTATTGTCAGAATAAATTAAAAGATTGAATTAAACACAAAATTAAGAGTAAATTAATAACTAGCTAATATATTTTATCATATTAAATATGCTCAATTTTGTTTAAAAAGATTTGTTTATACAAGCTAAGTAGTCTGAAGATATATTTGTATATTATATGTTATTTTATAAAAAAAGTTATAGTTGGAAAAAATATTATAATGAATTATTTTCTTTTCTTTATAATATTTATCCAAACAATGGTTGTTATAATTTTTTTTCTTTATTAATTTTAATTATCCAAATAAGATATATATATATATATATATATGTATATATCATTTTCTTTCTTTTAAAAACTTTCATTTTTTTTTTTCATTTTCTTTCTTTTACTACTTTGTTACCCATGCAATACATGTATTATCTTACTTTATTAATTTACTTTTAATTATTATTCAATCAATTATTTTTCAATTGTAATTGAAACCTTTTTTTTTTAGGAGATTTAGTTTATGATATTGAAAGTTAAAAACTACTTATCATTTAATCTAATTATTTTTTTTATCTATTTAATAAGGCAATCATAAATAATTTATATGTGCAAAAAAATTTCTTTTCATGATGACACGTAAAATTATTTCTAATTTTATGTTATTTATCAAATAAATATATTTAAAAAATTATTAGCTACTCAAATTTTTAAAACTTAAAAAAGACAAAATCATATATATCTAATTATTTATGCTTGAAATTAATTTATAGTTAAAATGCAATGAAAAAAAATCCTATAAATTACGGTTAATTATAAGGTTTTTTAAAAAATCACAAATTATTTATTTAATTTCAATTGTTTTTTTTTACCAAATAATTTCATATACTTTAAGTATGATAATATTATTTATCATATGAAAAATATATAATTTTATATCAATTAAATCTTAGAAAGTTAGTTAAATAAATTTAATTTAATTAAGCTAATTAAAATAAATTAAGAAAATACGTATTTTTAAATTCATATTCATATTTGATTAATGAATGTTTTTCAAAATTCAAGCAAAGAAAAAAAAACACAAATTAACTATAATTTGAATATAATTTTTTTAACTTTATTAGAAAGTAGACTTATTCGTTAGTTGGATTATAAGTTGGATTTATGATTTTATGCATAACTTTTTAAATATGGATTCAAAATATTATTATATTAAAAAATTATTTAATTTTAAATTTAAAATATATTTAATATTATAAAATTTTAATATTTTAATAATAAATATAAATTGAATAGGTGATTTGAGTTTGACTTGAAATAGAATCTAAAATTTAAAAATATTTATAATTGAATGCCACTAAATTCACGGAGACTTCTTAATTTTTTAAATTCATATATTTTTTTAAAATTATGTTTAAGAAAACATCAAGTGCTAATTAAATGAGATTTTATTTGAAAAATAAAAAAAAATTAAATCAAATTAGATTTCAATTTATCCTAACTTTTTTATAAATAAAAAGAGTATTACAACTTTGAAGAGGAATAAATATAGCATATTACAAATTTTTATACAAAATCCTAATTGATGTGCTAATTATATTACATACAAAAAAAAAATGATTTCAAAAGTCAATTAGTTCTTGTTATTTGTAACAATATTTTGATATAAATAGTAAGTTCAAATCAATGTAATCAAGCAGATTATTAATGAAAGTGTTTTTGCATATTGTAAGAAAGTTGAATTAAGAGAAAAAATATTAATTACTTGAGTGAAAAGTCAAATATAAAGAAAAAAGGTTTATAGATAGTACTTACAAAATAAAACAAAAAAATATTTTTTGTAACTTTGCACCTTGTAATATATGAAAAAAAGCTAATTAAAAAAAATATTACCTAATTAAGTGAAGAGTTAAAAGTAAAGAAAATCGATAGACAACACTTAAAAAATATAATAATATATATATATATATTTATGTAACTTTACATCTTGAATATATATAAAAAAGTAAAGTTAACGACTGTGTGCTTATTATAAGTACCTAAAAAAATGCTATTATAACTTTCATTTTTTAATAGAAAAAGAAAATGAGATAATACAAAAATTGAGAACAATGACAAAAAAAAAAACTAAATTGATGTTAAAGAATGATATTAAATAATCATGTATAAATTATTAAGAGATTAAATTTGATCATTTTAAATAATAAAAGATTATCATGAAGTCTATTAAGATAAAATTATATTTGATATTTTTAAAATTTAAGATATATATAAAAATTAATTGTAAAAATAAAACATATATATTATTATCTTGATTGAAAACGATAGGTGAAATTTTTTATATTCCACAGGCAAACTTCACAATTATTAATACTATAATTTTAATTGTAAAAGTAACAAAAATATAAATATTTCAAAATGTAATACTAATTTCAGATGAAGAACAATTGTGCTTTTTCACTCATTATTTGGTCATTTAAAACTAATCTCATATCCAGACTCATATATAAAACTAATTATTAGAAAATTATTAGAAAATTAAATTTTAAAAATAAAAAGATATATTTAAAGGTGTATTTGGCAAATAAATATGATTTTTTTAGTAAAAAGAAAAGCTTTGGATAATTTAAAATTTTCAAAAATATAACTTAGAAAGATTTAGATAACCAATAATTTTTTAAACAAATTTATTTAATCTATAGATAAAAAATAAGAATTAATTTTATTTATTTAAATAAAATCTTACCAAAATAGAGAATAATAATTTTATTCCTTTAATTATTTTAAATCTAAATTGATATTTCGTTTAAATTTTAAAAATTTTATATAATTAAATAAATTTTAAAATTTTATTTTTTATAAAAATTTAAAATTAAGAAATATTTTATATCATTGTAAAAAAAATTTTTAATGATTTTTTGAAGTGTCAAAAAAAATTATTCACGCAAGCATTTGCATCAATAAATTTTATTCGATAATTATGTGATATATATATATATATATGTATATATATTAGATTTATATGCATTCAAATACGGCCGTTAGGGTGACACTTAACTCCAAAATCAGACTTCCGAAAACCAAAACTACATCTAAAGTTGCTTTAAAGCGCAAAATCCCACACTGATTATTTAAAAAAAAAGGTATAATTAGATTAAACCCTAAAAATAAAAAAAAAACCCAGATTTCTTAATAATTTGGTCGTTCTCTTGAAAATGTTGTATATGTGAATGATGCAGATTGTAAGAGGAGGACGGCTATTCTTTTCGAAGCAGTCGGCAGCTCCTGGTTAGTGATTTTTTTCTTTTTTTTATTTTGTGTTAAATTAGTGGTATAACTCGATTCCATTTTTCAGCCGCATGGTTTGGTGAGGCAAGAAATATAGTGTGGCGTGGAAGATCATACGCTGCTTCTCTTTCTTCTGACTCTCCAAAGCGCAAAAAAGTCGCCAAGGATGAACGTCGAGCTTTGATCGAATCTTTTGTCACCAGGTCTGCTCTTCTCTCTTTTATTCTGTTATATTGTTCACCCACTGAGTTTGATTGAATAAGGAGTGTTTTTCTCTTGAAGATTAATGTTGCGGATTGCAATTATTATTATTCCTTTTGTGTTGATCAAACGAGGTCCTTTGTTCCCTTTCGCCTGCAAGAATGCTTTTTCTTATTAGCCTTTTACTTTCTGAAAACAAGTGCCAGAAAGCATAATCATACAAATCAAGTAAAACCTAGGCCGGCATAATATTTTGGCATTGGCAAAATGTCTTATTAGTGTCGATTTCCAGGCTGCTCTTGCATGATTCTGTATAGTTTTTTGATGATAGTGAAGGACAGCTACAGCAGTTGGGATATGCTAGCTTTTGGGTTTACACTAAAACATGCTAGGATTCCATACTTAGCAGTATTTAGACAAAATTATCCTCTTGAGTAAATCATCTTCTTAACTGGAATCTTGACAATTCGTGTATCTTTCCCTGTAATCCTAATTCAATTTGTCTCTTTGGATTGTGCTGGGGTTTGTCTTGGTATAGTACATTTCTTTCAACAATTAGAAACTAAGTTTGTTTTATTGAGTTTAGTTACTCTGAAATTCTAATTCATTAGTGCCTTAATTAGGACAGAATGATGATTTTTCTATTATCTTTTTCCAGGTATCGATCAGAGAATGCTGGAAAATTCCCAAATGCAACTGCAGCGAAAAAAGAAGTTGGTGGCTCTTATTATGTTGTTAGGAAGGTTCTTCAAGAGTTGCAATATAAATCGGAAATTTGTTCTGCAAACAGCAGTTATGAAAATTTATCAGCAAAAGTTGTCAATAAAGAGGATAAATCATATTCTGCAGTTGAAGTGGTCTCAACTGCAGCAGGAGTCCGAGGTGACACTTTCACAGAAACTATGGATTACAAGCAGCTGGAGGCCGACAAAGTTTATACCTCAGCTGAGAAGACATTTTCTGAAGGGGTTCTAAAGCCCCAAACTCCAGTAAGTGCGACTCATTTCTCTGGGTTTTGCCTTTGATGATAAATGCAGAAATGTATTTCTAATAGACAAGAGTCTGCTCTTAGTTGCAAGGGTACTTTGGCACTGAAAGTGTTTGGCATTTTTCTCAAGAAACTCAACAAATTTTATTGAAGTTACAGTTTTCAATAATATGGATTTCTTTCCTCACAATTTTCCTACTTGAATGCAGAAGCTTGTATTTAGACACTTTCTCATTCCTTGTGTCCTTCTCCATGTCATTAGTGAAAACAATTTATGAAGTTGTTTCCTCGAAATAATACATAAAAATTGTGCTTCTTAAGTATATCAATGAGACCTCTAATAACCTAATATTTCAGAATGTATTTCATTGGTCATACTTTTGGTGTGCCCCTAACCTCTTTTATCTTGTCCTTTGCTTTACAGGATGAATTTGTAACTTGCTGTCATACTCTTCAGTATAATTTTTTAAGAACTTAGCTATCCTAGTTTTATTTTCTATAAAGTTTATTTCACTGGTGCAAAAGCGGAACCTCTTTAAAAACCTTGTAATCTAATTTGTCATTTTACTTTCAGGATAGTAATTGCGGTTTTGTTTTAGAAGAAAATAGTGTGCTGAAAGGTGATGTTAAGCTTCTTGAGAAACAAGAGTATGATAAAGTAGAGGATGCTGGGATAGATAGTTCTGATAAATTTCCAGCGTTTCTGGACAAACAAAAAATTGTGGAAGCTTCTGATCAACATATTGAATCAGAAGAGTGTAAAACTGAGTCTCAGGGTGTTCAGCCAGGTTTTGGTGTAATAGAAGGTGATCTACTAAAAGAAGAAACTGAGGTTGGAAATGAAGAGGGTGAGGAAAAGGAACAAACTGTATCTAAAGAGTTACTAAACTCTGGCACTCCAGAGCTTAAAACTGAGCATCATGAACAATTCTGGGAAGAGGAAAAATTTGCAAGGCAAGTGTTCTTTTCCCTTAATGGCTCAACTGGTGTATGGATTGGGTTGTTATAGGTCCTAGATTCATGAATGAAAGTATGATGATGGTTGTGTCAATGTTTTGCACTTATCCGGGCTGATTAGAATGAGGTTGGAATAGGTCCTAGTTTTTTTAATACCATCAAATAATGAGGATGATGATTTACAGTTCTATCTATGAATGTTCTTGTCTGCTTTTATCAAGGTTCCTTTGCCTTGGACTAAGCTTAATATAACTTCCTCTTCGTGTTATTTTGTGACCTTTTTATTCCTGTGTGGCCGATGGATGCATGCCGGATGTTATTCTCTCTAAATAGCTAGAAAGTTGTTTATTTTCCTGCCCAGAATTGCTAGAAAATGTTTGCAAATGTGCATGCATGTATATTTTCATCATCTAACACGAATATTACATTTTACCTTTTGCATGTAAATATCATTATATTTATCATTTTTGTAATAACTCAATCATGTACCAATTGAGTTAAGTTATTGTTGAAGTATTCTAGGAATGTGGTTCATATTCTCATTTGTATCTGAGGCATCATACTGGCTTGAATTTGATTGCTTTATCGTATATATATGCTTGATAGTCTCTTAGTCTGTATTATGTTTTTAATCTGTATTAGAAATTTACAAATGACTGACACCTCATGTGGGCATGTGGCTTGTCTTAGACTAACAAGAAATTTTGACACACTGCATCAAGGGAAACTGAACTGCATTGATATTTTATGCATATTCTATGTATCTTGTTGCAAATTGTTCTGCATATGCCTGTCCTACTTAAATGTATTTGCATATTAGATTCAAAGTATGCAACTGAAACCCAACCACTAAAGCCCATAAATAGACCTAAGTTTGGCTCTGGCTTTTACTGGACCCGTTATAAATAGCATCTCCGTTTTCCATTGAAATCATTTGCAATAAAATTTATTTGTGTTTCTGTTTATTTCGTGAATTCTCTGCCATTTCATTACTTGTTATTTGCTGTAAGATGATATGAAAAATTCTATTATCTAGGAACCTCCTTAGAGAGCAGAACGATGAAACAGAAAGTTCAAAAAAGTCAAGTCTCTGGGCAAACCTTAAGTCATTTGCTGATGGTATTATCAATAGATGGAGAAATCTGTGAATCTTTGTTGGCATCACTGGGAGAAAGCTGTAAGTTTTTGTCAGGTGTCATTGAAACTGTGTGATGTAAATGTTTTTGGCAAGATAATGGAAATATATAAAGATCAACAATGGATGTTTTGCTCCTTTTTTGTTTTCCTTTTCTTTGCTGTTGTCTCTTAATCTTAATTATATGCCTTTTGCCTTTCAATCAGTAATCCTACTGTTTGAAAAAAAAATGAAACTATGAAGTGTTGTTTAGTAACTGCAGTGGGCTTTGGCAAAATTGTGTCTTTAATCGGTGGCTCGGAAATGTGAGATTCCTATACCATCGGAATTGTCATGTGAAGGAGAGTAAATACAGGCATGGGCATTTTGTTGAAAGTGCAAGTTTTTCCTCATTGATTGTATCACTAACTTTGTAGTGATTGCTGCTTTTTAATAGCATATAAGTGCACGGTTCGCATCCAAGTAATAATGTGTGAGTAGAGTTATTATTCCTTGGAGGATTATAAAATGGGTGTGAGATCAAGTATCAAAACGAATCTTTCTACTTTATATTTAGACAACCTTAAATTGTTATTGAAAAGAAAACAAAAGTACTTGAAAATGTAAAGGTCGAGTAGAACAAGAAAAGTAAAGGCAAGTTTGAAATGTAAATGGGTTTTAAAAGTAAATAAATGAATGCTTGCAAAAGAACTTAGAATTGGCCGAATGTAAAGAGCAAAGTAATGTAAATGGAAAGTGAACAAACCGGAAGCTTAAAAGAACATTGGAAGTAAACAGTAGTGTTTGAAACGTACTTGAAAGTGTTCGAAATATAAAAGAAGAAAGCTTTAAATAACTTCTATTGAAAGAGCTTCAAGAACAAGAGAACGTCAACTAATCATCACCCTAGCCGAATGAAAATAAAAGAGATTACAAAAGCTTGAGTAAAACCAAAACTAAAGAGAAAGAAGAGAATTGGTACGAGGGATGCAGCATGTCAAATGCTCTACAAGTGAGCTTTATTTATAGTACAGGATAAGGGCTAAGGGGATGAATCTAGACATGTTCACTTTAGCTCAAACTCTTTTAAATTTAAAAATGCAATTTTGAATTTGATTTAAGCTAACTGAATGGATGAAGCTTCTCAGATGAAGTGAAGCTTGCGTGGCTGATTGTCACTTTTTGCTTGGTCCGCTTGTGCCGCCCATGACTGTATCATTGCCATGTCAATCACAATTTGAATTTTGAATTAAAATTGTGGGAGATTCGACTGTGTTTGAATTCAAATACATGATCTTATTGATTCTTCCACTTGGCTTGAAACTCTTTTGAATTTAAAAGAGTCCTTCTTGCACAAAATTTCCTCTTTGATCGAACATGATACTTGCAATATTGGGTTTCTTGGTTCGGCTACAACATGGGCTACCAAAGTTTGCTACCTTTTGCATGGGTTACGACTTTTTGCATGCATGGCCACATGTGTATATGTAGAACTCCGTATGCTTGGATCAGTGCTTATCCATCAACTTGGGATGGAATGCATGAGTTTCATGGCTACTTTCTTTGTCACTTTTGAATGGTTTTTGTTATTTTCGTTCAACTTGATTAATTTATACAAGCAAACTTGAAATCCAAGTAATTAACACGTTAAGACATAAAATGTACTGAATTCATAAAAATTTTCAAAATTTAAAAATAAAAATGACTTATAAAATTTTACAGTTATCATGTAACATTGATACTAGACAAGATGAATATACCTGCATATTTCTTATGCTTATTTACTTCTAGAAAACACGTGAGCCCTTTTTTTTCTTTTTATTGCAACAAGCATCTGAGTTAGACATGCATAATTTTAATTATTAGGTGCTAAAATAGTGAGTTAGATACGCTTATTTACTTCGGTTTGTTCGGTGCTAAAAATTTCATAAACTAAATGATCTATCTCATTAAAAAAAAAAAAAAAAACTTATAGAACTTAAGGAAATATTGCTAAACTCTGATAATCAAAATATTTGAACTAATTGGATTAAAAATCGAAACTGATCAAATTTGATGAGTAACAGAAAACAATTAAAATCGACTTAGTTCTGTTGCAGAACCTTTTTTAATCTTTTTGCAGCAACGTTTCATTTTTAACATATAAAAGTGAAGAAACATTTTCAATACATAAGCATTATTGTAAATATTAAACAGACGTAACATACACATTACAATGATGAGAAAAGAAAAGTTTACAAGTATGTTGATTATTTAATTAAAATAATTTTATTTGATCAACCAAACAAAAAAAGTTTACAAGGATGTCAATCATTCAAAATTTAAAAAAGAAATTGTTTCATTAAATTTTTTATTTCATTTTTTAATAACAAAGATAATGACATATATTATACTTTATTTAGATTTATTTAAATAATTGTGCGTTAGCATATCATATTTACAGTATAGAATATAACAATTGTAGGTTTTATAATCATTCAAAACATTTATACAATAGTAATTAACATTAATGGAGTATTATTATTATTATTATTATTATTATTATTTAAATAATCATATATATTATTGTTGATAGACTATTATTTAATTATTTTATTTTATATAGACTTTTTTTTATAGACTATATAACTTTTTACTAGTGAAATTCTAATTTAATCAATTACAAAACCATATTTATTTTATATAGACTGTTATCCCCTAAAATTGATCAAAACTTTTTCACTTAATTTACAAATCATCTAAATCTTTTATTTTAAATGTTTGCCTTATTCCATATTTTTACTATATATTGCCACTTACTATAATTTTAAGTAGTTTTATAATAAGAATTTTGAAAATTTTTTAATAAAAAAAAGCATAATATATATATGTATATATATAGATATATAGACATAATTATGAATTCTTGTTTAGAGCAAAATTTTATTTTTTAGTCTATGAATGATATGAAAGATTAATTTTAAGAGTACTCAAAAAGGAAAATAAGAATAAAGGTTGTACATAATACCATGACATAAACGTTCATATTGTTTTCTACAAATCTTTCAAAACGACGTAATGGATGTTTGTGTTGAGTTATTCATGAGGAGTAAAATTCTAAAATAAATAAAAAAAAAAAGAAGAGAGTGGTTAAAATAAAGGCTGGGAATGGTCCCAACGTTTATACTTCAACGTTAAGTTAGAGATTCGCAGAGGAGAATAATAGAAAGGCGAATGTAAGGAAATGGAAGAAAGCAAGATGGTGAAATGGTACCTAGATGGTCCTATTTATACTTGTAATGAGAAGGGACATGGGCAGGCTAGGCTGCCCGAGATTAGCCCTAGGTTTCAAGATGACCTAGTAGATTTATCATCCATTTTGAGGGTGACAAGTCAGCATTTAAGAGGTTCTATTGAGTAGACTGATGAGGTGGCCTAACTAACATGGCCCCATGACATCAGGTCGACTTGACACGTTAGCTCAGCCTAAAGGTCGAAAATACCCTTGGCTATCTATTGATAGTCTCTAATGAAAAAAAAACTTTTTTTTTGTACCTACAAATGCCCTCAACATTTAGTCCCCTCTAAGCAGTCTAAGTATTAAACTGACAAGCATTGATTAAGTCGATCTAATATGTGCTTAGTGATGCCAAGGTTAAATTCTTGAGCCTGGGCTTTAGAACTTTATTCAATTGGTTCAATCTAAAGTCATCGGGGTGAATAAACAAAAGTACTGATGTGATTGAGGATCAAATTAGGCAAACCTTTGGGCGATTACTGATGTGTTTTATACATTCAACGTCACATTTGGTTGCAATTTGCTAACCTATTATTATGATGACCGAGATGGGACTTGTGCTTTTTTGTTGTTTTTTAATTTCTTTTGTGTTAGCATATGGCTGATTTGATATTTTGTAAGTGTTTGGTGATTGTGAACAGTCTTTGTTGCAATGATCGGTGTGCTCTTTTTGCATTAATTAGGAAAGAGAAAATTAGATTGTAAAATGAGTTAAAGTTAGGAATGTAAAGGATTGTCCTTGGTAACCATTTTGGCTACATGGTACAATCTATAATGTTTATATGATTTTTGTGTTTGTTGTATAAAGGGTCTTCTAGTGCTTCCATTTCTCACATTATAACCTTTTAGCTCTCAATCCAACCTGATTTAACTAATCTCCAATACTTCTAACTTTCTTTTAGTTGATCTTTTCCTTTTTCCAAGTCCTCGGTATGTTTTTATCTTTTTTTCCTTATATCTTCTGATTCTAGTATGTCTAGGAATTTTAAAGTATAAGTAAGGGAAGGTCAGCTCGACTATCAAAATTTCTCCTTAGATGATGAAATCCCCATTATTATTGTAAAAAAAGATTATAACCAAACTACTTTTTGATTAAATTCGATGTTTGCTGAGGGCTAGAAACAAATTAAAGACAATATTTATACAAAAGGAGAGCGTGTTTATCATGGGATGGATGATTTTCTTACTGTATTAAATTCTGAGACCTAGAATCCTTTAGCCTCAGTGCTATGGATCAATTTGGTTTCTCTACTTGATCTTTTTTTTTCCTTCTTTTGGCCTCCCCCATTTTCAATATAATCTCTCTTTTTCTATTCTTCTTTCTCATCTTCACCCTTTCTATCTTTTTATTTTTTCTTGATACCCTTTTAAACTAAGCTCAGGGTTTAACTTTAGCTCATATTCTGGGCTTTAAAAGTTTTTTGGCTCTTATTCACCTTCTTCATTCGATGTAATGGAGGTCCTAACTCCTTCTCAGGCTTAGGGCTTTATTTTTTCCTCAAAAGCTGAGTCATTTGATGATGAAACTTCTGTAAGTGAAAAGGCTTTATGCAAAAAGCAAGTAGAAGGGTTCGATTAACCCGATGAGGAGGATGAGGGTGAATAAGAGGAAAAGATCATCGAAGGCAATAATGTAGAATATCTCACCTTATTATACACTTTATATAGCTTAGATATAACCTCGAAAGATGTTATATAGACTTAAAAGGCAGGGCTAACCCTTAAGACTACCCTAAAATGTACTCAGTGGATTATTCCAATGCTTTGAAGGTTATATTTGACTTTTCAAAAAAGAGGTATAGTATAATAGCACTAATCATTAATGATCGAGTCATTGTTCCTTTAGACAAGGATAAAATTTAAGTCTATAAAGAGTCCATAGTGGCTGATATGAGGTTCCCATTACATTTTTTTATTGTAGATCTTCATTTTTCTTATGATTTAACTATCACTTAAATCAACCTAAAATTTTTAGGTCCATTATAAGTTTTATTATTTTTTATAGAAAGCTAAGCTTAGTTCTTACCATCCCTCTATTTAGGGGATTTTTTGTAGTTAAGAAGCATCCACATTATAAGAGCTAGTTCTGTATGATAACTTGAATTGCTAAGAAGATTTTTACAGATTTACTATACTCAATAAAAAGTTAAAAGCTACTTTTACTCCGTATAAAAAATGAGAATAAGGTGGTATGAAAGGTAAATAA